GATTTCTTTCAGCTGCTCTGGCTGGCTTAGGAGAAAACCTAAGACTATGGAGTCCCAGAACCAATCTCTGCCCTCTCTATCTCCAGGAGAGGAAGTAAATAACAGGGATCTTCATGGAGAAATGACCCAGGTGAGGGGCTGGACTCTCCAGAAGTTACAGCAGAAGAAAGTTTTTGAAGAAGACTGGAGGAGATGAGAGCCCAAGCTGGGAAAGCAGGGTTGTGTGAAACGCTATTTAATCCTATGTGCTCCCTGCCCCAATCTAGTAGCTAGTGAATGACAGCTGACCAAGTATAAATGCCAGGACTATAGAACTGTGATAAAGTGTTTGTCCAAAGAAAGGGGCTTTTACTCTTTTTGTTTTCACAGAGGAAATGGCTATTTTTCATCTAAAGTTTCTGAAAGGCAGCAGTGAGCTTCCGGAGGGTGAGACCTGCTCTCCACAAGGGGGCTGAGGCCAAGGCTTGTGTGTGGGATCTGCTGACACCAAGTGGTGAGGGAAGGAGCCTGGAAGAGTCTTTTTCTTTCTGGGCTTCAAGTTCCTCATCGGTAAGGTTGGGGCTTATTGTACCTCTCCAAGGTCCCTTCCTGCTCTGTTTTCTCTGAGACTCTGAGGAATTGAGATGGTTTTCTATGCTGTCTGGGGCCTTCAGCTGAGACCTAACTCTGTGTGTCTCCTGCAGGAGCCTCAGCTGAGTCTACACGCTGGAATCCCAGAGCTGAGGGAACAGGTGGAAGAAAGAAAGTCAGCAGGTTTAGGGGATGAGAATAATCCACAAAGGACAAGCCATTGGTAAATGAAAACCAAAGAAGGGAAGAATAAGGACAAACTGCAACAGAAGCCTGAGGGGAAATGGGCAATGCCTATGATCATTTACATTCTCAAGGAGCAGCATGAGCTGAGCAGTGGGGACTGAGAAACTTACTCAACAGGAATCTCCTTCCTCTGGCTGGGGAGAGCCATAGAGTAGATCAGAGCTGGTTTATAGTGAGGGGCAGCTTCAATTCCAGGAGGGGGAGGATGTGACCGTGAGCCTCCACCCCAGACCCCGGAGACTCAACCTTGGGGCTGCCGTAGCAGTGGATGCTCTTCAGGTCAGTGTGGGTTAGAGGGAATAACCGTGCTTGGAGAAAGGTTGGAGATGTCCATTCTTACATCAAACAGCTCTGCCCTAGGTCAGGTGCCAGAGTAAGTGTCCCTTGCTTGTATATGAAGCAGTGATACTTATACTATTCTTCTGCACCTTCAGTTGAAGGAAGTTTCCCATAAATATTTATTATTTACTTTTCTTTATACTGTGCTAAGCACTTGGGATTCAGGTATTTAATGTCTCTAAGGAAACTCAAGCCAGTGAGTGGAATAACACAAACAGATGATTTCAACAAGATACAGTAGTTCTACCCAACTGAGGTGTTGTGGCAGCCTGGAAGATGGGAGGGTATGTCAAAGGACATTGCTGCTAATGACAGGGGGAAGCATAAGAGAACATTTTCAGACTGTCTGGGTGCAGTGGCTCACGCCTGTAATCTGAGCACTTTGGGAGGCCAAGGTGGGTGGATCACAAGGTCAAGATATTTATGACTATCCTGGTCAACATGGTGAAGAGCCATCTCTACTGAAAATACAAAAGAAAATTAGCTGGGCATGGTGGTGTGTGACTGTAGTCCCAGCTACTCGGGAGGCTGAGGCAGGAGAATTGTTTGAACCCAGGAGGCGGAGGCTGCAGTGAGCCGAGATCACACCATTGTACTCAAGCCTGGGTAACTAGAGCAAAACTCCACCTCAAAAAAAAAAAAAAAAGCAGAACAGGCTAGTCTTCCTTCAAGCTCCCACAGGAGAGGATCCTGGGGCAGGGATGGTGTAGGGCAGGCACCTCTCTATGAAAGGGGATTTGCAGCATTCTGAGAGAAAGAGCATCCTTACAAGACATTGGGGACAGAAATGTAGGTGAAAGGGTCGGAGGTTTCTAATCAATTTTATTCAGTCATGGCTGAACGCTGCTGAGAGGCCCCTCTGTGCTGGGCCCTTAGCTAAGAACCACGACCACAGAGGTGAGTAAAATAGGATCCCAGCTTTCACACAATTCTCAGTCTAGTGACTGGTGATTCATGAGAAGTGTAGTGATGGTGGGTTCATTGAAACCAGTGGCCAATGCCGCATGAGATGACCTCAGTGGATGTCCTGGGTCAGTGACCCTGGACTTCAGCCATATTTCAGCATCTCGAGGTACAGTACAGCAATGCCACTCCTCCATGTTGAGTCAAAGCAGTTAACACAGCCAAGGTATTCAGAGGACGCTGGTGATATCAGTAGCTATTGAGTGTTTCCAGCTGGGGAAACAAAGAAGTAAATTTAATAAGTCTTCTAAATTTGTGCTTGCCATAATGATAAATAACTTTATCTTGATAATGAATTATATCCTGGCAAATTAATTATAATTTGCCATAATGAGAAATAACCTTATGCTGAGTATAGCCAACACACAAGCCCTTGAGGACACATGCCTGAGGAGTCTGATGAAGATATGATGTCCAAATATGTACATATTTGGACCTACAGTCCAGCTTTGAAACAGTGGAAGACCCAGTTTCAAATTCAAGGTTGTTTTGAGTAGAAATTCACTTTACCTCTCTTTGCATGACAATGGGGCCAATCTTCCCTAAGCTGCCCCTTACAAGAAAAGGAATCATACTGGTAAGAATTCAGACTTCAGCAGACATGGATAAGTAAGGAAGTCTTACAAATCTCTTCTAGCCACCTAGCAAGAAATCAGAAATTTAGCAAGTTCATTCACATTCAGGACAGTTGTGTGCATTAGATCAGAGGCCCTGATATAGGAAGAACAGACCCCTAACAAGGGAAAGTATTTCTCCCTGTCCTAAGACATCACTGCCAATGTCAGGGAAGTGGGAAAACAGCTGCCCGCTTTACAGTATGGGTTACTTTTGTGCCTGAAATGTGTCTGACGTCCTGAGACTTGTACCCATTTCAGGGAGCCTTGGGAGGAGGCTGAATCACAGATGGAATTGAACAGTGCATGGAGATGGTTGAGCAGGATGAGGGTAAGTGCAGGGACATGGCCAGGTCATACTGGTAGACAATGAGCAGCACTGATGGGGACAGACAAAGAGAAAGTCAACAGTTTGTGCTTCAGCGTCAAAAACTCAAACCAATAATGAATATGCTTTGATAAGTAATAAGTATTTTTCTATTTACATCAGAATTTAATCTCAAAAGAGAAATCATATAAATAGTAAGCCCAGGGCATAAAACCTAAACCATAGCTCATATTTATTCTTTCTAAATTGAACTATTAGTAAAATCTTCTTCATAAAACATGTATTGTGGTTATAAAAAGGCAAAAGTCGGCCGGGTGTGGTGGTTCGCGCCTGTAGTCCCAGCACTTTGGGAGGCCAAAACGGGTGGATCACGACGTCAAAATATCAAGACCATCTTGGCCAACATGGTGAAACCTTGTCTCTACTAAAAACACAAAAATTAGCTGGGCTTAGTGGTATGTGCCTGTAGTACCAGCTACTCAGGAGACTGAGGCAAGAGAATCGCTTGCCTCCAGGAAGCAGAGGTTGCAGTGAACTGAGATTGTGCCACTGCATTTCAACCTGGTGACAGTGCAAGACTCTGTCTCAAAAAAAAAAATGCAAAAGTCTTACTGAGAATCATTGATATTCCATAGAAGAGAGAATTAAATACAGTCAAGGGAAGACCCAAGTCTCATACTTCTCTTGTATATTCCAAAGTTCCAGGGAAATTCCAGGTAATAGAGGTTATTTCCCATGCTGTTAAAGCAAGGTTGCAGACACTTCTGAATTTTGGTAGCAATACTCTAGGAGGGCACATCTCTGTCCTGAAAAATGATACAGGAATGAATACTCTTCCTGTGACTCATTCTGGTCATTCATCCAGCATCACAGAAACCAAACAATGGAAATATGGCCAAATTCATGATTTCCTAGCCCTCTTGTTCAGGTTTCTTACCTGATTGTTAGGATAACAGCATTACCTTGAAGATTACAATGAAGATATGCTGTCCAAATATGTGCACAGTTTTAAGCAAAATGTCTGGTACAAATTGGTCAACAAATAATTACTGAATGATTTTATGAATATTTACAGAATGACACAAATCCTATGAATAATTATGGAATAATTACTGTGATCGCTTTTGTTAGCAGTTCTCAAAACTGATCTCTGTGTGACTTCGAGTAAGCCCATAACTTTGTGAACCTGCAGTTTCATCATTTTTAAAATGAAGAAATTTGACAGATTTTCTTTCTGCCACAGAGTGTCGGGCCTCCCAGATACCAGAATATATATTTAATTAAAGCCTTTGATGTATCTCAAGGCAGTATCCTTACAGTGTATTTGGAGGATGGTGGGGGCTGCAGAGAGGCACGCTTTCCATTGGGATTGATCCAGTCCTCCTTCCTTCATTGCCACATGAATGCTGGGCAGCCGAGGGTCGCACCCATTGCACCCTCTACTCAGGCAAGCCCAGCAGCCAAACATAGGAGACTTGGGCTACAGAACAGTCTCCCAAATCCCAGGCTCACAAAACCTAGGTGGAGATGATGGCTGAGAAAGTGAGGGGGTGGTTCAGCGGATCACTCTTCTCTACTCTCCTCTCATCTCAAATTCACCTTCTATTGCACAGCAACACAGAGGACCACCTACCACCTCGACCATCACCTTGACCTTGCTGTGTTTGGTTAGTGGGATGCAAGCACACATCAATGGTGTTAGACCAACTCAGAAAAATATCAAACAGTATTCCATAAGGACCACTCATGGCCCTGTTATTTTCACTATATGGAAAAAATGAAAACAACAAAATCATATCAGATTTCCAAGACTTCCCAAGATAGATGGTCACACATGCTTTCAAGAGATCTCTATAGAAATGATTTCGATGACCTGACACCTTGGAAAGAGCTCTTCTGGGACTAGAATGACATCTATAAGTGACGCGTATGAGATGTAGTGTTCAGTCACATTAAAAAACAAATCATCCCACATAGAGGAAGCTTTGGAAGTAGGGATGTCACACTGGTCTTAAGTGTAATGAAAAGCCTCTTCTGCCACAAACATCAGTGTAGTGGTATCTGCTAGTAAGAAAAACTAAATCAGCATAACCATGGGATGCAGCAAGAAGAATATTGAGCCAGGAAAGAAAACATTTTTAAGAAATGAATTACTCATTGACTTTCTAGTGTATACAGAAAAAACTGCAGAAGACTCAGAGGATATCGTGGCAATGTAATAGATTGATATCTTAAACTTGTGGAAAAGCCTTAAATTCTGTTTTAACATATGAGAAGGAGAGGTGACTGACTTCATGACTAGCATTAAGGAAGTATCATGTGTTGGGAAACTGTTTCTGCCTTGATGGTTTTATACACATAAGAGATGAAAAATGAGGCACATGCTTAGATGTATTGGGAATCAGATGGGACTGTGGCATTGTCACAATGGTACACAAATACTGATAGTGACTTATCGAGTAATGGTCCCCATCTGTTGTGACCTCAGATGAGACCAGGAGGCCTGTGTTTTAGCAAACCCTGGGCAATGGAATGAAGGGCTCCTAAGGTTCCATGACACGCCCAGCTTCTAATCCTGTTATTGCAACAGCAGACCATTACCTGGGACACTGGCCACTATCTCCCACACTCTTGTCGGAGTCTGAGCTGCAGACAGCGCCTTTAGTTCTCAGCTCAAGCATTGCGAATCTTGTTTTTGCGGTTAAGGACCCTAAAGTGCTGTGAGGTGGGATCAACTATTTCTCAACAGTAAGTTAACAATCTGAGTTATTGACATCTCCCAGTCCTGATTAAAGCTATTTGATTTCTAGTTTTTAACCCACCATGTGTTTGGGTTTCTTCTCCCCAGTCCCTGGCTCTACCTGTGTTGCCCCAAATGTCAGCATGGTGGCATCTGGCAGGACGTGTTCCAGGAATACCACAGAGCTGAACTTTCCAGATAACATAGAGAATTCCTACTCCCAGCAGGAAGAGACCAAACCGAATATCAGAGCCAGCAAAAATAGACTTCTTATGAGTCAGGTGGACTACTCCCTGAACTACCAGCTGAAGACATACAGTAAGTTCTACAGGTCGACCACCATGAAAGTGATGAATGATGTTCTGTCTTGTCTCAAGAAACTAACTGTTCTCTTCATCAAAATTAATTTCATCCTTCCCATACTTGCAGAAAATAGCAATGGGTATTTTCACATTTACTTAAAGGTGGAAGACAGTGGTGAAAGTATTTAGCAACTTTTCCATGTCTGCAGTAAGGTGGGTGTAGGACTGCAGTTAAAATCCCAGCTATTGATTTCTGACACAGGCACAGAACCACCTGTTTTTCTCAGCAAAAGGCTAAATCATGTTTACAGGAATTCTCTCTGTACCATATAAGACCCTATAGACAAGTAGCATCTAGTCTGTTGGTCTGAATGTCTGAGGCTAATGAACTTCCATTTGGTTCTGGTTTCTACTGAGGCCCAGTAGGCAAAGCTGTGTCCTGGGAACACTGAGGGAAACACAGTGATAGCACACAGTATCCACTGTGAGGAGCTGGAAGGGGACCCTGTTCCTAATAGAACCTGTGGTATCTGTAGGTGGCACCATCAAGAGCAGGGAGTACTCTGGTACTGGTAGCTCATCCTCCCCATCAGCTGGGATCCCCAGTGGGCACCACCACACCTGGCTAATTTTTGTATATTTAGTAGAGGCAGGGCTTCACCATGTTGGCCAGGCTGGCCTTGAACTCCTGAGGTCAAGTGATCTGCCCACTTGAGCCTCCTAAAGTGCTGGGATTCCAGGCATGAGCCACAATGCCTGCTCCACAGATTCTTTTTTTAGTAAAGGTTGTTAGAATTCATCCCTTGGTTCAGTCTCCTATATCAATTTCTCTAACCATTCATTGACCATGACATATGAGATAAATATTGTAGCAATACTTCTGGAAAGTAGTTAGGGCAATTTTTGGAAGATTTGGGGGAAAATGTTTTAATTTTTTGCACGGACTTAGGTCAGAGGATATGATCAAGATCTCCAGATGAGGGAGATTTTGTCCCATGGATCTGAAATGCAGGCTCATATATTTCTAGGGCAACTTAGTCTAGGGCCCATTAGAACAATCCTGTCAGAATACCACATTCTTACACTAAGAATATTTTAAGTCCTTGTACTATGAGTGGACACTGATTTGGTCTGTGTGAATTGTGATTTGCTTAATGTGACATGCTCTTCTGAATTTGTTTACAGAAGATCTAAAAGTTCACAATGAAGAACAGACATACAGAGACAGCAAAAATAAACTTCTTATGAGTCAAGTGGCCTACTACCTGGGCTGCCGGCTGAAGACAGAAGGTAAGTTCTATAGGTTCACCATCACAAAAGTGCTGAACAATGTCCTGTCTTCTCTCTGAGAAATGACGCACTCTCTTCAAAGTTAATTTCATCCTTCCCATACTTCTAGGAAAATAGCAATGGGTATTTTACCATTTTGTTAAATATGGAAGACAGAGGTCAAATATTTAGCAACTTTTCCACGTCTACAGTAAGGCAGGTGTGGGACTAGTGTTAGTATCCCTGCAATTGATTCCTGACACAGGCACAGAACCACCTGTTTTTCTCAGCAAAAGGCTAAATCATGTTTACAGGAATCCTCTCTACCATATATGATCCTGCAAAATGTATAAGCAAGATAAAGGTAGAAGTGTTTATTTCCTAGTTTCAAGGTGACTGAGTAGCTAAGACAAGTTGACTTTAAGGAGATCAAGAGTGGAGATGAGAAGAGTAAAAGCAGGGAAATGACATCTTCGAATCAATAGGCAGGGCTGTCAGTGACATCCCTCAGTCCAGATTAAACCAATTTGATGTCACCAGTTTCTAACCCATCATATGTTTGGGTTTCTTCTCCCCAGTCTCTGGCTTTTTGTGTTCTGCCCCAAATGTCAGCATGGTGGCATCTGACAGGCCTCCTTCCAGAAAAAACACAGAGTTGAACGTTCCAGAAGGCATTGAGAAATCCTGCTCCCAGCAGGAAGAAAACAAACCGACTTTCAGAGCCAGCAAAAATAGACTTCTTATGAGTCAGGTGGCCTACTTCCTGAACTACCAGCTGAAGACATACAGTAAGCTCTATAGGTTGACCACCATGAAATTGATGAATAATGTACTGTCTTGCTTTGAGAAACTAAACTCTTTCTTCATCAAAATTATTTTCATCCTTCCCATACTTGTAGAAAATAGAAATGGTTATTTTAATATTTTGTTAAAGATGGAAGACAGCGGCCAAAGTATCAGCAACTTTTCCACATCTTCAGTAACGTGGGTGTGGGACTGGGGTTACAATCCCTGCTATTGATTTCTGACACAGGCACAGAACCACCTGTTTTTCTCAGCAAAAGGCTAAATCATGTTTACAGGAATCCTCTCTGTACCATATAAGATCCTGCAGACAAGTAGCATCTAGTCTGTTGGTCTAAATGTCTGAGGCTGCTGAACTTCCATTTGGTTCCGGTTTCTGCTGAGGCCCAGTAGGTAAAGCAGTGTTCTGCAGACACTGGGGGAAACACAGTGATAGCACACAGTACCTCCTGTGAGGAGCTCGAGGAGGTCCCTGCTCCTAATAGAACTTATTGTATCTGTAAATGGCACCATCAAGAGCAAGGAGTACCCTGCTACTGGTGCCTCAGCCTCCCCATTAGCTGGGATCCCTGGTGGGCACCAAAGCCCCTGGCTAATCTTTGTATTTATAGTAAAGGCGGGGTTTTACCATGTTGGCCAGGCTGGTCTTGAACTCTTGAGGTCAACTCTTGAGGCCTTCTGGGCCTCCTAAAATGCTGGAATTCCAGGCATGAGACACCGGGCTGACTCCACAGATTCTTTTTTCAGTAAAGGTTGTTAGAATTCATCCCTTGGTCCAGTCTCCTATATAAATTTCTCCAACCATTCGTTGACCATGATATATGATGAGATAAATCGGTACTGCAGCAATGCTTCTGGAAAGTAGGGCAATTTTTGAAGATTTTTGGAAAAAAGTTTTAATTATTTGCACTGACTTAGGTCAGAGGATATGTGATGAAGATCTACCATATGAGGGAGATTTTGTCCCATGGATCTGAAAAATAGGCTCATCTACTTCTGAGGCAACTTAATCTAGGGTCTGTTAGAACAATCCCATCAGAATATCACATACTTACACTGAGAATATTTTACGTCCTTGTACTATGACTGCACATGGATTTCGTCTTGTGTGAAGTGTGATTTGCTTAATATGACCTGCTTTTCTGAATTTGTTTACAGAAGATCAAAAAGATCATGATGAAGAACAGACATGCAGAGACAGCAAAAATAAACTTCTTATGAGTCAAGTGGCCTACTACCTGGGCTGCCGGCTAAACGGAAGGTAAGTTCTATAGGTTCACTGTCACGAAAGTGATGAACAATGTCCTGTCTTGTCTATGAGAAATGATACACTGTCTTCTTCAAAGTTAATTTCATCCTTCCCATACTTCTAGGAAAATAGCAGTGGGTATTTTAACATTTAGTTAAAGATGGAAGACAGAGGCCAAAGTATTTAGCAACTTTTCCATGTCTGTAGTAAGGTGGGTGTGGGACTAGGGTTAAAATTCCAGCTATTGATTCCTGACCCAGGCACAGAACCACCTGTTCTTCTCAGCAAGAGGTTAAATCATGTTTACAGGAATCCTCTCTGTACCATATGAGATCCTGCAGAACTCATAAGCAAGATGATGGTAGAAGTGTTTATGTCCTGGCTTCAAGGAACCTGAGTAGCTAAGACAAGTTGACTTTAAGGAGATCAAGAGTGGAGATGAGAAGAGTAAAAGTGGGGAAACGACATCTTCAAATCAATAGGCAGGGCTGTCAGTGACATCCTTCAGTCCTGATTAAACCAATTTGACGTCACCAGTTTCTAATCCATCATGTGTTTGGGTTTCTTCTCCCCAGTCCCTGGCTTTCTGTCTTCTGCCCCAAACATCAGCAAGGTGGCATCTGGCAGGCCTCCTTCCAGAAAAAACACAGAATTGAACTTTCCAGAAGGCAGTGAGAAATCCTACTCCCAACAGGAAGATAACAAACCGAATATTGGAGTCAGCAAAAGTAGACTTCTTATGAGTCCAGTGGACTACTCCCTGAACTATTGGCTGAAGACATACAGTAAGTTCTATAGGTTGGCCACCACGAAAGTGATGAATGATGCCCTGTCTTGTCTTAAGAAACTAACTGCTCTCTTCATCAAAATTAATTTCATGCTTCCCATACTTATAGAAAATAGCAGTGGGTATTTTAACATTTAGTTAAAATGGAAGACAGATGTCAAAATATTTGGCAACATTTCCACATCTGCAGTAAGGTGGGTGTGGGACTGTGGTTTCAATCCCAGCTATTGATTCCTGACCCAGGCAAAGAACTACGTGTTTTTCTCAGCAAAAGGCTGA